GTAATATCCCTAAGCCTGGTGCTCCTTTAATGTATTTGACTACTCTCAGTGTTGCATTCATATGTGTCCTTTTGGATTGTTGCATGAATTGGCTTAAAACTTGTACTGCAAAGCATATATCAGGTCTTGTAATAGTCAAATAGAGCAACTTCCCAATTAGCCTTTGATAGGTACCCACTTCCTCCAGTTGTGTATCATCTGTCCTGCCAACATGATTGTCATAATCCACTGTAGTAAGTTTGTGATTCAGCTCCATTGGTGTTGCAACAGGTTTGCAACCACTCAGTCCTGCATCAGAAATCAGTTCTAGTGCATATTTCTTCTGGTTTAGAAGAACACCCTCCTTTGATCTCATGACTTCAATTCCTATAAAGTATCTAAGTTCTCCTAGGTCTTTGACTTTAAAGCACTTGTGTAAAGTACTCTTAGCTTCATCTATCAAAAACTGAGAACTTCCTGTTATCAGAAGGTCATCCACATAAATGAGGATGATCACAATGTCTGTTCCATGCTTTTTGGTAAAAAGAGAATGATCATGGGCACTCTGTGTGTATCCAGCATCTAACAAGGCAGTGGTGAGTTTGATGTTCCACTGTCTTGATGCCTGCTTCAGTCCATAGAGGGATTTTAATAGCCTGCACACCTGATACTCCCCTTGCTTTTGAAATCCCTGTGGAAGTTCCATGTAAACCTCCTCAGCCAAGTCTCCCTGAAGGAAGGCACTGTTGACATCCATTTGAAAAAGATGCCAACCTTTAGATGCAGCAACACTAATAACAGTGCGTACAGTAACCATTTTAGCTACTGGAGAAAATGTCTCATGGTAATCCAAGCCTTCCTGTTGAGTATAGCCTTTTGCAACCAGCCGCACTTTAAACTTGTCCACTTCACCATTGGCTTTATATATGATCTTGTAAACCCATTTTGATCCAATTGGTTTCTTGCCAGGAGGCAAAGACACAATCTCTCAAGTGGAGTTTTCCTCAAGAGCTTTGATCTCCTGCTTCATAGCGTCTACCCACTGCTGATTTTGAGCTGCCTCTTTGAAGGTTCTAGGTTCAGTCAATACAGAAAATACCCCAAGATAGGATTGGTAATCTGGATAAAGGTGACGATATGCTATGTGAGATTATATGGGGTACTTGCTTGTCACGGAGGTGGAAACATAATTTTTCATCCATAGAGGAGGAGCATGAGATCTTTGTGGCCTGGCATGCATTAATGGAGGTCCTTCAGTTAGAATAGTATCTTATTCAGAAGCTGCTAGTGTTGTACTTGCAGGAACTACTTCAGCAATTGCTGGATCAACAGGAGATGTATCATTCAACTCCCCTTGTGGTGTGACACTATCAGGATTCATGTAGTTATTTTGAAGATGTATGTCATCCATATCTGCTCCAGAAGTACCAGAATGTGGTTCACCCTGCAATGTGGCTATATGCTGTGTAGAGGAAGAACTCTGCATAACACTGTCCTGAAGAACTGGAGGTAGAGCAATCACATCTTGTACAAACATATCTTCTGTATTGCTGGGAAGATTCTTGAAAGGAAATATGTGCTCTTTAAGAACTACATCTCTACTAACAAGGAAGGATTTACTTTCTAAGTCATAAACCTTATAACCTTTTTGGGTATCAGAATAACCAATGAATACAGTCCTTCTTGCTCTAGGAGAAAACTTACCACCCCTTGGCAAGCTACTTGTATAGCATAGGCAACCAAATACCCTCAAATGTTCTATGTTAGCTTATTTCTTGTAAAGCAGTTCATATGGAGTCTTACCTGCTAATACAGATGTTGGCAGTCTATTTATCAAATACACTGCAGTTCTCACACAATCTCCCCAAAATTTAACAGGAATCCCACTTTGAAATTTCAATGCTCTAGCCATTTCAAGAATGTGCCTAGTTTCCTCTCCACAAATCCATTTTGTTGTGGAGTATAGGCGCAACTACTTTGATGCACTATACCCAGAGAAGCAAGTAGTTCATTACAATTGGAGTTAAATAATTCACTCCCATTGTCAGATCTCAGACATTTCACAGTGATACCAAATTGGTTCTTTATTATTGATATAAAGTTCCTCAGCACACTACAACTTCACATTTGGTATTTATCAAACACACCCATGTATATCTACTAAAGTCATCTACGATAGTAACAAAATATTATTTTCTGTCATAAGTGAGCACCTTATAAGGTCCCCAAACATCTAAATGCACAAGCTGAAAAACATTACTTGACCTTGAATTGCTAACGGGAAATTGTAGTCTACACTGCTTAGCTAGAGGACGAATGTCACAATCTTCAATATCACTACTACTGATCTTATTTTGTAAAGTTGGGAGATGTTGTATAGTCTTCAAGGAAGCATGTCCTAATATGTAAGGCATAGAGTATTGTCAGTCTTTACTTAGAGTTGTACCTGCCAACATTATTGCTCTTCCTTTCAACAAATACAGGTCACCTGATTCTCTACCAATCCCCAGTACCTTGCCACTGTAAAGTTTCTGAAACAGACATAAATCAGGATAAAAGTTGACTGAACATCTGAGTTGTTTGGTGAGTTTTGATACTGACAATAAATTGAACTTGTAGTCAGGCACATGTAGAACATTGTCTACGCTTTTGTTTCCTAGGACCACTGTACTTCCTATATGTTTTATGTCTGCTTTATTCCCTATTGGCAGCTGAACTCCACTATGTTCTGTCATTTCTCTAACATTGCTTAAGATTTCCTTATTATGTGTAATATGATGCGTGGCTCCTGAATCCACTATCCATTCTTCTACTTATGCACTACATAATAGAGAGGCTATACCTTCCATGTTTGAAGAGCAATCTCCTATTGTTGGCTTGTTCAGAAGACCTACCAATTGCTTGTATTGCTCCTCTGTCAATACATGACCCTGAAATGGATTCCCTGAGCCTTCTCTTGCTTCAACACTTGCATCATTCACATACGGTCTAGCTCCTCCACCTTGAAATTTCTTTTTGCTCTTAAGATCTACCGGATAACCAATGATCTTATAACAGTTTTCCTTCAACTGGCCCTTGTATCCACAATGATCACAAATCAGCCCAAACTTCTTTGGTTTTAAAATTTGACCTCTTCCTGCCATCATTGATAAAGGATCCCTGTTTGTGTCGACAACTCCTAATGACCTTTGGCTTTCTTCTTGTGTTACAATAGCATAGGCCTCATTCCCAGTAATGACAGACCTTCTTAGCAATAGATTGCTCCTTATATTACTCTAAGTCTCATTCAGCCCCATTAGGAATTGTAATAACCTCTGTTGAGCCAAATGTTCTAAGGATGGTTTAGACTCCTCAAAATCACAAGCAGAAGTTGGGACCGATACATCTAACTCACTCCACAAATCACTCATTTTCATATAGTAGCTGGTAACAGAGTCCATACCCTGTTTCAAACTAGCAATTTCTATCCATAGGTGATATATCCTTGTTAAGCTACATCTATCGAATTTTTCTTTGAAATCACTCCATACTTTCTTCGCATTTGAAGCAAATACAATGCTAGGCATTAACTCACCTGCAACCGTGCTTCCGATCCACGATAACACAATTGCATTACACTTTTCCCATTGTTCTGCAAGTTCTCCTCTGTATGTGCTTTTGACGCATGTTCCATCCACAAATCCAAGCTTTCCTTTTCCTCTCAATGCTAGCTTCATCGCCCTGCTCCATAGGGAATAATTTTCTGGCCCTGTGAGCTTAATTGGGACTAAAACTAGACCTGGAGCGTCGGAGGGTTGGAGAAACAGCGGATGGTTGTGCTCAAGTAAAGTCACTTCATTTCTGGCCATTTTTGCTCCGATCGAAGAACTATGAATCCCTAATTTTAGAAAATTTTACTTCGTTCATTCGAAATTCAAATCCGAGCCCTAGATTTGAGATCGAGGCTCTGATACCATGTTAATCGATCTAGATTATACCAAAGACAGCAGCAATTCAGACATGCAACTAGCCATAGCAATGGAACAGTAGCTAGCGAGAGAGAAGATCAGAGGAAGAAGAAGAAGCTTCTAGATTTTTACAATTGAATCTGTTTTTTGTACAACAACTTCCGTATCTCTCTTTTCTTCTATTTAACAATATTTTTACTATATTATTTTCTTTTATTTACAGTTCACTCCCTTCTAGTTTCTTGTATGCATCCTTAAGCCATTTCACTTCAATAGTATGGTCTCTAACTCTTAGTGAAGGACAAAGGACTACTTGATGTGTATGTAGCTGCAAGATTTATAAAATTAGTATATGTCTTTCATATATTATACCACATGGTTTTGGTACATTATGCCTGTCCAGGAGTATTAAATTATAACTTAATTTATTGACTAAAGAAAGTACACCACTAAACCTTCAAATTAAAATCAACTTGTATATATTATGTTTAAAACTCAATGCATGCTTGCTTTGAGCAGATGGTCTATCGGACACAACTTCTCTATCTGTACAAGATAGAGGTAAAGTTGCATACACACTACCCTCTCCGAGATCTCACTTGTGAGATTATACTAGGTATATTGTTATTGTTGTATACACCTTTGGAATTCTATATCGAAAAATTTAATCACACTCAATGCTTATTGTTAAGTGAAACACGTATTAATTAACTATTCATAAGTGATAAAGAGTATATGTAGAAGCCATTTGCCAAATTATCATTGATTTGGTGCAAAAATATCCAACTCTGTGTAAATTCTTATGAGATCTTCATCTTTGTACCTTTTTTCCAGAGCCATAATGAAAGAGGACAGTAACCGTATTTGTTTGGATCTTAAAGTAATTAAGAAATTCGGAAAATTCTTGGATCTCAAAGTATTAAGAAATTAGGCAACTTATTAGCAACATAACACAGACTCGATGAAACATATTATGAACAACAGAAGCAATTTGGAGAGCTAAGAAAAATTGGAGAAATATAAGGGATCGCATCAAAAATAAAATAAATAAAAGAAAATAAAAAAGGAATTTAGTACATAGAAACAACTTGCATTTATTAAAAAGAGAAACATAGTGCATTCACAACCATTCATTCCAATATATCAACACCTGACCCTTTTTACATGCACAAAAGACCAGTCAACTCATCTTAAATCATTCTAATAATCCTCATAACTCATAATATTACTCAGATCTACTGCTCATATTGCTTAAAATAAAGTAACAATAAAACCAAATAATAATAAAGATACTAGTAATAAAATAACCCTTCCATTCTTCCTTCCACTCATCATCACAACCACCATTAATTTCACATTACCACCATTAAAACAGTTAATGGTGATAATTATTCCTAATATTTTTTTTTAAATTAATACTGATAAAGCATATCAGCAGAAGCCATAATTGGCTGATTAACATACATCAAATTCCATGGATTATTCATCATATCCTCCTGATAATGATGATGAGTTTCAAAAACTCCGTCATTATTATTATTGTTGTTGTTGGAATTGATGTAACTGAGGATTTCATTAAGAGATTGCAACCTTTGACTAAGTTCAATCATCTGAGCTCTTAAAACAGAGTTCTCTGCTTCAACATTAGCGTACTGTTGACTTGTCAAGTTGATGTTGCTAAGGATGTTGTTGTTTTCCTTTTTCAGTTGCGCAACTTGGCCAATTAAATCATCAAGATGTTTCTGTTTTCTCATCCTTGATCTTCTTGCTGATTCACGATTTGATTGCATTCTCTTTCTTTTCCTTTCATCTAACATTGAAACCTGCAAATCTTCTTCAGAACCTGAGTTCAAAATCTGAGTAGATCCAGTTGAATTTCCACTAGATGTAGCCATCACAATATTTTATATATATACACCTTTAAAAATTTTACCCTCTGTTTTATTTTCTTGGGCTGTTGAACAAATATTAGTACCAAGAAAAAACACAGGACCAAGCAAATAAAAGTAGTACTAATAAATGGTAAAACTAGATATAATTAACTATATAGATAATTATGGGGAAGTGATGATTTCTGAGAAAACGTAGAACCAGTAGAGGAAACAAACAGAGAAAGATTGAACAAGATGAGTTCTGCGTCTAAGGGAAGAACTGATTATATAACCGGAACGAAGGATTTCACTAAGAACAGGAGACATGAATTTGGTTCATGAATAACAGATCAATATTTAGCATTAATTTTTCATACCACAGAAACAGAGAGTTCTTTTACAAATCTGTAAAAAGATTGGATTTTTAATGGGTTTCAGCCTAAAAGACTAAAACCCAGATATTAAATAGCCTAATTAGAGCAGAATAGCGGAGAAAACAAGAAAACCGAAGAAGAAGATATCAGAAAACAGAGGCAAAAATAGCTGAAGAAACTGAAAATGTAAGCAAAGGAGAGGAGGAGAAGAAGAGGAAGGAATGGTCTTTGAGGTTGTAGGTTAATTTAAAGGCAGAAAAAGGTAGGCAAAAGGAAATAAAATTATTAAAGAAATAATTAAACAAGTGGGAAAAAATAGGTGGTGGGTGGGAAAAAGTGAAAGGGCGAGGAATCTTCAAGGACAGTTGATGGTAGTATTTCTTGGTAGTTTAAATTGTATGTACTTTACCCTATAAAAAATTATTTAGATAATTAAATCACAAATAAAGTAATTATAGGTAATTTTTATGATAAATTTTAAATGAATAATTTGATAAATATGATAATTAACGTATTATTTTTCAGTTTACGTAATTTATTTTATAAGGATAGTTCTTTCAATCCATGTGTATTTCTTTTTATCAATGTATATATTCTCTTCGTCACAATTTATATAGCACATTTTAATAACCTATTCAACAAAAAGATAATATATTTTTTATTTAGAAATAGTTCAACGTTAAACTTATTACTCTTTCCGTTTTAATTTGTGTGAGCTTATTTGATTAGACACGTAGGGTAAGAAAAAAAGAGTTTTAAACTTGTGATGTAAAATAAGACTTATATATTTTATGTAGCTATAAATTATTGTATAAAGATAAATTATTTCTAAATATGAAACGGTCATTCTTTTTTGCACGAACTAAAAAAAAATTATATAAATTGAAACTAGAAGAGTTTTTTAGTTAATTTCCTTTAATGTAAAAATTTTTATAACAACGCAAATATTATGACCTGACAAAATCTTAAACTTTTTAACACCACATGGGGGAATTTGTGGGGTGGAGATGAAAGATCACACAAGAGTACAAATACAGCTGTGTCTGTTGTCTATTTATGAAATCAATGAAGGGGAGAAGTACTGCAGAATCAGACGTTTAATATTTACTTTGTTTTCACCACCCACACAACTTTGTCTCCTTATGATTTCACCGTTGGAATATCTTTTACTTTAACTGCTTCAATGGTTAACTGAATGCCGCAAGGGAATCTCTAGGAACGGAAGGTAATACATTAATTTATGTGATTTTTTTTTTAATTCATATAAAAAATTATGATTTTTTTATATTAATAAATAATTTACCTTCATTTAATGATTTATAGCCACACACAATATATGTATCTTATTTTACACTATAAATTTAAAAATGTTCATTTTTTTAAATTTCATACCCAGTCAAATAAATTTACATAAATTGAAAAAGAGGGAGTATTCATTTTCACAACAAGGTAACACTGCCAGAATTTTCCTTTTCTTGGTGAAATGTGCCATAAATAACGAGGAAAAGGAAGAAATAATAAGAAATTTCCTTTTTACATGTTTATTGTATTTTCGAGTACATGTTTATAATTTTTAATTGCACAGTTAAGTCCCAGTTATTTCCAAATGAAGCATTAATTATTGTTTAAAAATGGCGAATATTTCTGAGGAAGAAAATTAAAGACAATCATCTTAGGCACGAAAATTTAAAAGAAATTTTCCACTTGTTTCACGTTAAAGTACTTATGAGTGTCCATAGAAATGTTAAATTGCGTGAAGACCATGCAATTTAAACTTTTAAGTGAAAGTTTGGTACGTGGAATAAGACGGAATAAGGTACGAGATTAAATTTATAGTACTATATTTGTTGAAATTTATACCGTCAATCAAATATAGTATAACTTTAAACTCAGACTTAATCCTGGATATCCTCTTATTCCATTAAGCTTGGGATTATTTTATCTCACCTCCCAAGTGAGGGTAAATTAGTCCGGGATTATAATTTCAGGACTATAATCTCGAGATAATTTAATCTGCGTACCAAACGACCTCTTGATGAAGTAAGTATGCTTCACTGACTGTTGCCTGGTTTGGAATCAGTGAACTCAAACAAAAAGACTTTGAAGTTTGGTAACCTAAATTTTATTTACGTTTGGATTCGTTCAAGATGTTTTTTTTAAAGAGTATTATGTACATATGTCTAGAAGATGCCAAAAGATAAAGATCTAATAATACTATGCTTATGCATTTTGTAAATATTTTTAACTGAGAGAATCAAGTGCATTCAACATGTTGTGTACATTTGCAGAAAGAGAGGCATAGAGGCCTAATCCAATGCTTTTAGAGACCATCCAATAGTTAGATTCCTGCAAAAATAAAATTATTTTTACATGCATAAAGATTTAAACGTAAATCAGTGGGCAACTGGTGTAATTTTTTTTTTTTTTTTTGTGTGTAAATATCATTAACTCCATACTCCACTCAATTAATGAATATCCATAAGCACCAGAAAGAAAAAAAACTTCAATCAGCCCATATTATTTGGTGTTTTTGCCTTTGGCACAACTCCTAAGAAACTACTTACTCCTATAAATTAAAAAGGATTTTGACTAAACTACCTTAATTAAATTTGCATCTTTCTAAATTGATAAGTATAAAGAGCATAGGAATTTCTATTTGTCACGTTGGAAGCATAAACAATCAAGGGTAAATTTGGAAATTTTAAAACTAATACCATCTTGATTATGTGAAACACCACTTATTTTGGACCAAGTATATAGTTATTTCTTTTTTTGTCATTTAAAGATCATGAGTACTGTCATGGGCAACTTTCCATCCATGCCCCATGACCCCTTGGACGCACCTCATGGCTTCCTGGCAAGCCTCCCAACGCCTAGCACTATGGTCGGCCCCGTGGTCTTGGCTACGCCGAGTGATAAGTGCGCTTGTGCCTATGTTGCCCCATCAATAGCCCTCGCCAGCGCCCAGCCGCAGGCAGATGCCAACAACACTGCGCGCGCAGACCCTGATGCTAAAGACAAGGTGTTGCCAACGGACCGGCTTCTACTTTGTAGGAATCTAAGTCCTTTTCATTGTAAATAGAGTAGTTTTATTTCATGTATTTCCATTATGTCTCTCTAGCTTAGTTATGTCAAGTCCTGTAACTTTGATTTATTTTTTTTAAGCACTATTAGGGGGGATCAAGCAATCAAACTTTCTAGCAAGCAAATAATTCTCTGTACTGGTGTCTCTCCACCTCAACACCGTGTTGCTTTTCTGTAATAGCTTTCATTAATGCAATCAAGCTCTCTTTCATTCTCAATTCTCATTTCTGTTCTCTCAATATCTCTTGACATTAGTTTTTCCGCACGGCACTGACAATCTCGTCTAGCGTACGGAGGGGACCTCAGTTGGCAGATAGTAACTACACTGACATCGGTTGCTTAGCCTTACGTCGCCCTTTCAAGGAATCTCAGGAAGGCGCCGCATAACAGTTGGTATCAGAAGCCTAGGCTCGACATCGGACGAGAGAACACATTGCCATTAACACTATTTCTGACCATGGTGAATCATGGGGACCGCATTGCGGCCCTTGAAGAGACGGTTGACGAATTACGACCCATCGTGGATACGGTGCCTAATCTAAGAACCAACCTAGTGCAAAGGTTGAACGACCTGGACCGCAGTATGCGGCAGGCCGAAGGTGACATTACGAACATCAGTCGCGACTTTGAGGGAGACCGACAAACAGCAACCACAGAGGCAGCCGAAATTTTTGGTAAATTCGAGGGCCTCCAACAGGAGCATACCAAGGATTTAGCCTACAGGGCACAAGAGGCAGACATAGTGACTGTCATGCAGCAAACTATAGACAACTTGACAGGCCAGCTCAATGTTGTCAATGCTGCACTACAAGGCCTACTTCGAGGAAACAAAAACCATATCGAGGTTGCTGTGAACCTTGCCCCTGTGCCACAAAAGCTGAAGATTCTTGAGCCAAAACCACACAATGGATCTAGGAATGCCAAAGAAATGGAGAACTTCATCTTCGACATCGAAGAGTACTTTGATGCCGTGGGGAGTTAGAAGAAGCAAAAAAGGTAGCAATTGCTGCCATGTATCTTCAGGGTGATGCTAAACTCTGGTGGCGGGTGAAATACGAAGCCATCGGGGCTGGTGAAGATGCACTCGAGACATGGGCAGAACTAAAGGCAGCCATATGCCTACAGTTCTTCCCCAAAAATGTTGAGTACAATGCGCGGAGAAAAGCTACGGGAGCTCCGCCAGACCAAGTCAGTGCGGGATTACGTGCGGGAATTCTCCGCGCTTATGCTGAACATACAGGATATAGGGGAGAATGACGAACTCTTCACATACCTTGAAGGTTTGAAACCTTATGCCCGCATGGAGATGCAAAGACAAAGGGTAGACACCTTACCCAAGGTGATCCAAGCAGCAGAATGCCTTGGGGACTATCAAGTGGAAGCTCGGAAGGATAGGCCTCAACCGCCCGTTCGAGCGGGATACAAAGGGGGCCAGCCTAGCAATGGTGGCCCTAGCAGAAGTGGAGGAGATCGGAGTGCAACCAAATCTAAGGCTCCTTCCTCAAGCAGCAATAGTGATGCATGAAACAACAACGATCGAGGGAGAAAACCCCCTTTAGGATGTTGTCATTGCGGCGGGCCACATTGGAACAATGAATGCCCACATGCATAGATGAACGCCCTTCAAAATTTTGATGATAGAATGAATGACGACACAAATGATGCTGACTAGACCGAACCAATAAGTGCCTTCTGCGCACGTGTTTGTTCTATTTCTGAGGCCTTAGCGGGAACCAGTGCTGGTATCTGTAAAAAAAAGACCCATGCCCAACGAACAAGAAAGGGAAAAAGAAGGCGGATGAAGGGACTCCTCTTAACCAAGGGAAGACCTTAATGTTCGTCAAGATGAAAATTAATGGCAAGCCTATTCGGGCGATGATAGACACGAGTGCTACTCACAACTACTTAGCCTTAACTCAGGTAGAATGTCTTGGTCTAGTTGTGGGAAATGGCAGAGGTCGTGTCAAGGCTATAAATTTACAGTGAAACTTGGACCTTATGAAGGAAAAGTCAACTTGCACGTAGTGATCATAGATGACTTCAAGCTAATAGTTGGGCTGGAATTCATGAGGCAAACAACCACCATTCCAGTACCTTATGCCGACATGCTACTGATGATGAGAGCAAATGGGGCCAAGCCTAGTGTCATTCCATGCACAACCATA